GTACTATAGTTTGTGATTCTGCTTCCTCCCTGACTGCAGCCACAGCCCATAACATCACTCTATTCTAGGCGAGGTTCGGTATCCCAGAGTCAGAGCCTACACTCAGACTAGGGTCCCACTCCACATCTCCACTTGCTCTGGAATAAATTTAGTAACGCCTGTGATTTTGCATAGTATAAATCAGTTCCTTGAGAATACTTGATTACCATGGATGAACTAACTGGCAATTTCTGCACTGGAAGAATTTGTACCAGATCCTGACCTTGTAGATCCTATTAGAAAATAGGCCAATAGACACCCACACAGAAACCACCAGGAAACCCTCAATCCATCACAGTTTTACAGAAGACACAACGGCAAGAAGCCTCAGAGAAGTATTTCATCTGGCATAATGGAGTCGAGCGTGAGGTGACAGTTGATATGATGGGGTCACAAACAAGGCTCTGCAAAGGAACCACAGCCAGAAAACCATGAACGATTTTTAGAATGTGAACACCATACAAAGTTTTCCTCACACTCTGGTCTCCTCCCGCTGCTGCACTGGAGGTAGTGATCACTTCCAGCAGCAGCATCTTTATAAAGAACTAGAATGAAACATACAGCTAATTGTACTTTACATGATTTCCCAAAGCTACTATAGACAGAAACTGCTTTGTAATCTTTGCCATCACTGCAAAGCCAATGAACATAGAGGCAATCTAAAATCTAGCCTGGATCATCCATGATCAACATTTTACTTACCGAACTGAAATAAGAGTACTGTAAATAGCAAACATCACAGCCATGGTTCCCTTTCCTAGGAAAGCCAGTTTAAATAATGTAAGTTAACTGAATAACATATACAAAGATAGCAAATAACTGGCTACCACTTTCCCCACTGTTATTTGTTTTCTTCAGTCTTTCCCACCAAGTCTTCAGGTGGTCTCAGAATCTTATTAACATCACATACCAGGAAGCCACTACCAATTCAACAGACACGGCAAGAGGGAAATTTACTAGCTACCCCTGCCCCAGACACCACGGCACATCTTCTGCCTCAGAAACTGGAAAATAACTTTCTTTTCAAAATAGAAGTCTCATTGTTCCGATAATGGATGGTGGTTTAAGTTTTTCCAACTTCTAAGCCAGGAGATCCAAAGATATGGGCTCTATAGCTAAAAATATAGATACACCTCTATCTGAAAATATAATGGCTAGTAGTTAAGAAATTTGTTAACAACCTTATTACTCCAAGGATATTCTTTAGACCAGCAACACCTAGGAGCTTGTTAGTAATGCAAAATTTCAGCCCTCACTAGAACTTGTTGAATTAGAGCCTTCATTTAAAGATCCATATCTTTGATTCATATGCACATTAAAGTTTGCCCAGATTAGAGACACACAACAAAATACTTTTTTTTTCTTTCCAAATAGCCTATAACTTTCATGCATGTAAAATTTGGCACTCCAGATTTAGTAACATGCCTTTTGGTCTAGTTTCTACATTCAGACTGTCTGTCCTTGTATTTGAATATATGTAGGATGCAACTAAGATTCCATGGGCAAATTCATTTTTCCAATGATAATAAGAAATAGATGACTTAAGTACATAATGATTATTAAGGACTTGACAAATATCTACTCACTCAATACTACAAACATTCCAGAGAAGTTAACATAAAAGATGGGAAAAATCACTAAATGTTAAAAATTAAAAAAAGAATGTTAAATGATAAAAATTCAATTTTAATTATAGTTATCACTGAACATTACTACTGCAATGAGAGTGTCTAGGGATATAATTTAAGAAAACAAGCATGCATCTTAGATGGGGTATCTAAGTGTGATCACCATATTTCAATTGACTAGTTTAATGGAATCTTTAATTTTGTATTTTCAGAAATAGTTGACTTTGGGACTGAATCCAGAGTTGATCAGCTTCAAAGCACTGGCTTAAATTCACTCAACTCTCAGAAATTGCTGGTGGGGCCAGAGCAGACCTCTTCAGTGGTCAGCAAACTTATTTCCATGATCTAAGAAGCCAAATTCTTAGTGTTGGAATGCCTTGAAAGATAAAATAATCAATATCCAGCTAGGGGTGCAGAGAATCAGTCCAAAAGGAGGGAGATAACAAAAATAATACTTTGGAGGCTTCATTTTCCTAGAGTCCATGTATTCCATTATTCTTCCTTGAACAATTCTTTTGACATGTAACAATAAAACCAATTAAACATTAGTTTTCTTCATACAATTCATTCTGGCCTGGATCTCCCTATTGGACTGGGCATTCCGATCTGTCCACAGCCATACATTCACTGTAGTTCCTACTCCAACTGAAAACCTTACCCAAGCAGTACTGATTTCTAATAGAGAATTCATTCACAAAAGAACAATCAACTTTCTTTATAAACACTTGACCCTTTACAAAGCACATAGTTAAAATCTAGCCTTATGTTTTACAGTGTTGCAAATATCTTTCCAATGAGGAGTTCTCCAGAGAATTCATGTACTCCATAAACAGATTTCTTCAAAGCTATGGCTACAGTTAAGAAAGGAACAATGTACATGTGTGTTTGTATTTTATCTTGTGTAAGTTTAAAACATAAAGCAATAATATCCTGAACTGCTGCAGAAGAGAAAGAGATAACATCTAACTTTACAGGTAGTAGGTTACAAAGAAGAGGTGTGGCAGGGGTAAGAATTCTTTTTCCTGAATATGTTCTCTAAACTTATAAAGAAAATGGGGCCTTTACTAATGAAATCATTCCCTTCATGGTGGATCCTGGCTGTTTCTGGTTTGGGCCCTATTAAGGAATACATGTTCTTTGTGTTTAAATGCTTAACACCAAAGAAAAGGGGGACTTCCTGGGGAATTACAGTCAACCTCTTTTAAAAACTTAATATTAATATCTTGTTGTCTAGTATTCTAAGGAGCATCTGTTCAGTCATAAATAAGGGAAGCCCAAGACCAAATGCAGTAGATTAGAAGTGATTAAGTATATGTGCAAAGTAGAGAACATCAGATTTCTGATTCATTTGTGCATATTATAAATTTTATTTACCCACTGCAATAGCTCAATTAAATTACCTGAAAGCTAAAGACTTTAAACCCAAGAAAGTCTCACTTCAGCAACTATCATAATTGCCTTAAGAAACAATGTCAAATAACATTATACAGTCAACTCTTAATTATGCATGCTAAGAGAGCCCAGGGATACAGGGGTAATTGGCATTCAAAAGTAATCCTCAAACTTCATTTTAACTAAGAGTTAAAGCCTCAGTTATGACTAAACTTCTTACCTAAACACTGAATGTAGGAAAATTGGCTATGTGTGTAGTTTTGCTATCTCTTGACTACCCTTTGGTTGAAACCCAAAATAATAATCAACCAGAGAGAGATGGAAGAAAAGACCAGAGAATTTACAAACCAGATAATAAAATCCTAAAAAGTTAGAGTTGCTTCTATTTACAATTATGATTACTTGGAGAAGTCTTTGTAAGACAGGGTTTTTTTTGCAAACTGTTATATGTTCGCAATCGTGACCCAGTGATCTCCCTGAAAATTAAGTAAACCTAAAAGCTGTACAATATTGGAGTCCCACTATTTATTTCACAAGGATGTTTGCAAAAATGTTAACCCATTGTGTTTGCCTCATGTTAACAAACTGTGTTACAGAAATCGTCTTACTGTAGACAAAAGTAAGATGCTGGTTACCATTCACTACCAGGGACACTGAATAACTTTATACTTGATGCAGTTAGGTTCTGAAAGAATTGACTCGTTTTTGCATTTAAAAAGTAATCTTACCGGAAAAGGTAGTTATTTAGAGCTATGAAAATAGTACAATGCCTCATTTAAGACACTAAGGCACCTACAGATCTCATTTAAATTGATTTTGAACTATTGAAACTTATATTCCTATAAAAATCATGTTTGCATTGAATAAAATATCACATATTTTCTTTGATCTTTTCAACTATGTTCTTCAAAGCTCCCTGAAGCACTGATGTGTACAGAGCCTGAGTCAGGACAGGTGAAGCAGTTTGCCAAAGCCCACAAAACGAATCATTGCTGAATCTCTTAAGTCTTGAATTAAAGCTGGGGGATTCACAGTTGGACTAAAAATAATAACAATAAAGCAGATTTTAGAGTTTCTTTGATATCTTTAAGAATAAAACACATAACCCTCCTTCTCCTACCTGCCTGAAAAAAGTAGATGCCTTCTTCTCATGAACTCTCCTATCTCTCCAGTAAAATTACTCTATATGCCTACAGGAGGTGAGCTCAAAAGCCTTACCAAGAAATAGTGAACCTGATTATTCACATATGGCTATTCCATTTTTCTGATACTTCCATTGATAATTGCTCATCACTGGTTTCTTCCTAACACCTCTGAGACTTTTGAGCTCACCAGGTCATCATTTAGTTGCTTTAAAAAAAAGGTAAAAAAAATTTTTTTTATTGTAATGATTATTATTAAGTAGCCAAATTTGAAACTACCTAGGAAGTTGATGCTACAACAACAAATCATCTAAGCATTGGACAAATGAGCCATCTAGAGAGTCACAGGTTGAATATTCTGAGCTTCAGCTCGTTAAAACCCAGAGGCAGAAAGAAGTCTTTCCCTGTCTCCTAACTTTCCCGACTGAATTGGCTCCCACGGGATTCCGAAGGTTTAGGGCTTATTTAGGAAAACCACTGAGCGAAAAGAGGGGTTGAATCAATCTGTTGCACCACCTTAACATAAAACTTCCATCCAAAGTTTGCAGAGTGGTGACTAAGTACGAGATTCCTGAAGGTTCTTCCAACAGGAACGCGGCAGCCTAACACTCCTGAAAGACGAAATTTTTACTGGGTAGCTATCAGGGGAACACGGTGGCGGAGACACCACCATGAGGTCCGCAAGGCGTCTTGGCCGGCCACAGCCTGCGAGGGCGCCCCCAGTGGGAAGCCCGCGCCCTCGCCCACAAACCCGTTACCATGGGCAGCGCCTGGAGGCCGCGCCTACACTTAAGGATACGCTCCAGGTAGTAGGCGCCCTCCGCGGCCACCGCCTCCGCGGTGTCCCCAGCAGCCGTCAAGCCCATGCCCAACGCTTCTTCCAAGACCCGCAGGGCCGAGGTGGAAATCGCTTGTTCAGCGGCCATCTGAGGCGAGTCGGCCCGGCGCCTCCCTAAGAGCAACTGCGAAGACGCCTGCCCGAGACTCACGCAGTTCTCGCGAGAGTCTGACACCCTCACCGCTACCACTAGGCCAGTTGCGCGCACCTAAGGGTTGCGCCAGCCTTAAGCCTTAGGGCCCTGAGCTTCCCAGGTTACCACGGCAACGTCGTTGCCTAGTTACCCTAGGACGCCGCTCCTGGCCTGGATGAGATAAAATACAAGAAAATAGTAGGCTTGGATTATATACATTTTGTTGCCGAGCCTTTTTGGGATTTGGTTTGGTTTGGTTTGCATTTTAACCCTAGTATTTCTTTCTCACTTCATTTTCTTCCTAAGTTGCCTTTCTGCCAGTTCTTAGATGCCCCTCATCAGAATCCTAATTTTAGATGTGTGGAGAGCCCCAATTGTCCACTGGGAAAACTCCTGGAAAAGAGGAAGAACCTCAGTCCCAAGAGGAAAAAAAAAAAAAAAGTTGTAGACATCATAACTTAGAGATTGACTCAGGAGAACTACCAACCTCAGACGCTTAGCAATAAAAAACTAGGGTAGTCAACTTAGTCAATTTCCTTCTAGGGTTCTTTTAAAACGTTTACCTGGACATTTATTTTAACTTCAGTTTCATACACTGGGATTGGAAGATTTGTAGCATTGACTCTTGCCAAGAGAGAGATACTTTCATAAGAACTCTGAGGTCCAAACGGTCCAAACATAATGTATGATAAATGATATTTGTTCAATCATGTGCACTCCTTTTGCAATGACAGAATCTTCCTCAGGTTTGTATTGTGTACGTATCAGAAGCATGGACTGAGCCTTTTTCTTTGTAGATTCTTTTTCATTCTGTTTTTTTATGAAAACTGAATGCCAAACAGAAATTCATTATAAAAGCTCCCATTTATTACAACACACACACACACACACACACACACACACACACACACACACAATGGTGGTAAGCCTACTAATGAGGTGATTGAGAGCCTTGGTGTTGGAACCAGAGAGGCTGCATGCAGAGCCTGTCTCCACCACTTACTAGCTATGAAACCTTGGGCAAACCACTTAAACCAGGCCTCATTTGTAAAATGAAGATAATATTACCTAAAACAAAACATTGTTGCAAGGGGTAAAAATATAAAGTATTAAGAACTTACAAGACACAAAGTAGACACTAAGAAATAGGTGTCGTTTCTACTGAAGTTAACTGCTTAGTTTCGTTATGTTTATCAGAATAATCAAAAGTCACAATTAGACATAATACTCCTTCATTTCTCATATCTATTTTTTAATAACTTATATTTTGGGAGAGCCTGGGTAGCTCTTGATTTTGGCTCATGTCCTGATCTCACAGTTTGTGAGACTGAGCCCCATATCAGGCTCTGCGCTGACAGCACAAATGTCTTCTCTCACTCCTCACACTGCCTTTTAATTTTGTTGATTGTTTCCTTTGCTGTGCAGAAGCTTTCTATTTTGATGAAGTTCAAATAGTTTGTTTTTGTTTCCCTTGCCTCAGGAGACATATCTAAAAAGAAGTTGCTATGGCCAATGTCAAAGAAGTTACTGCCTGTGTTCTCCTCTAGGATTTTTATGGGTTTATGTCTCACATTTAGGTTTTTAATCCACTTTGAATTTATTTTTGTGTTTAGTATAAGAAAGTGGTCTGAACTCATTCTCTTGCATGTTGCTGTCCAGTTTTCCCAACACCATTTGTTAAAGAGACGATCATTTTCCCATTGGATATCCTTTCCTCCATTGTGGAAGATTAGTTGACCATATAATTGTGGGTTTGTTTCTGGGTTTTCTATTCTGATGTATTCAAAAAAGTTTAAGTTTCTCTAAAAAGGTAACAATAGAATAACCCTATGATCCAGCAGTTGCACTACTAGGTATTTACCCAAAGAATACAAAAATACTAATCAAAGGGATACATGTACCCCAATGTTTATAGTAGCATTGTCTACAATAACCAAATTATTAAAACAGCCCAAGCATCCATGATTGATGAATGGATAAAGAAGATGTGATTGATAGATATATATATTACTCAGCCATAAAAAAAGAATGAAATCTTGCCATTTGCAACAACCATAGATGGAGCTAGAGAGTATTATGCTAGACAAAATAAGTCAGAAGTCATAGAAAGTAATAATCATACGCCTTCACTCATATGTGGAATTTAAGAAACAAAACAAACAAGCAAAGGGAAGAAAATAAAGAGGGAGGCAAACCAAGAAACACATTTTTAATTATAGAGAATAAACGGATGGTTACCAGAGGGGAGATGGGTGGAGTATGGGTGAAATACTTTTCATGATGAGCACTAAGTAATATATAGAATTGTTGAGTCACTATTTTTTACACTTGAAACTAATATTACACTGTATGTGAACTAACTGAAATTTAAATAAAAACATTAAAAAATAGTAAATTAAAGGAATATATAAAAAGCACTTATATACTATATCTACTATATAAGAACATATATGAGAACATTTTTAAGAGAAAACTTAAATGTGTTTATTTTTTTAATTTTTTAATATTTATTATTTTGAGAGACGGAGAGACAGAATGCAAGTGGGGGAGGGGCAGAGAGAGAGGAAGACAGAATCCAAAGTAGGGTTTAGGCTCTGAGATGTCAGCACAGAGCCCAATGTCGGGCTCGAACCCGTAAAACTTTGAGATCATGACCAAAGTGGAAATGGAATGCTTAACCGACTGAGCCACCCAGGTGCTCCTAAATATTTTTAGAAGCATGAAGCACTCAGGGCACCTGGATGGTTCAGTCGGTTAAGCATACGACTTCCTCTCAAGTCATGATCTCATGGTTTTATGGGTTCCAGCCCTGCATCAGGGTCTTTGCTGACAGCTCAGCACCTGGAGCCTGCTTCAGATTCTGTGTCTCTCTCTCTCTTTGTCCCTCCCCTGCTCATACTCTGTCTCTGAAAAATAAATAATAAAAAAAAGTTTTAAAAAGTTATTTAAAAAAAAGTAACATGCAGCACTCAAAAGAGAGTAAAGTCTTAACAGTGTCATTAGAAAATAAATTACAGCCAATATTCGCTACTTCAGGTGGAGGGGAACTGGAAATGATTCTTGTCAAAAAACTTAAAACAAAAAAAAGTCCTGTAACTGGAAGTATAATTACTGCACTCCTCATAAAAAAATTATACTTTTTAAATTTTTTAGTGCTTTTTTTCTTTTTTTGAGAGAGAGAGAGAGAGAGGGACGGAGCTTAAGTGGGGGAGGGGCAGAGAGAGAGGGAGACACAGAATCCAAAGCCAGCTTCAGGCTTTGAGCTGTCAATACGGGGCTTGAACTCACAGACTTTGAGATCATGACCTGAGTGGAAGTTGGGTATTTAATGGACCGAGCCACCCAGGTGCCCCGAAAAAAACAAATTATTTTTTAACATGGAGGTCTAATTCTTTAAAAATTCCACATAACCAAAGTTTTGCTTCAGAGTTCCCAAACTGCTTATGTCAATTTCATGGGTTTTAAATTTCAAAATCACCTAAGATATTTTTGGTTCAACTATAATTTGAACACATTTCACTGTGACTTAAGCTACAGTATATTTAAAAGTTCAACTTAGAGGCATCTTTAATATTTTATGTTATTTACCTTTGGATCTCTACAATAAATGTGTAATGTGCTAAACCAATGAAATAAAACAAAAATAGTCTTAAATATAAACAGAATGAAAAATTGCCTTCAGATAAAAAACAGGATGCAAACTTTTGTGGTGACTGCTAATATCTTAAAACTAATATGTCTTTGTAATGGATGACTTTTAAAATAATATATTTACATTGAAATTCTTGTTCTGTTAGTTACTACTTTAATTTAAAAGGGATGTAGAAGCCCTACTAAGAAAAACAAAATACTTCAGACCACAGTAATGGTTTCAGTTATAATGCTATTCTACAGTCTTCCTATCATGCAGTCCTTCTATTCTATGGTCTTTCCTTTTTAAAGTGTTTTACAAGCTTCTTTAAAATAGAAAAAAAAAAAAAGAAAAGAAAAGAAAGTACCTGAACATTTTGATGAATGAATAGCAAGCACTCTAATTTTCTCTTGAATATGTTTCTGAAAGAAATAAATAAAGAACCAATGGAGACAGTCAATATGAAGCAACAACTGCAAAGGATAACAGATTTTATTTGATCCCAGCCTAAATTCTCCATTTTTGTAAAAGTGAAATTATTTTCAAAAGCAAAGCCAGGAAGAAATTTGATAATGGATATATTCTCTTTATTTGTAGTTTCAAAGCATAAAATATTCATATGCAAAAATTTAGTAAAAAACTATTCAATTTTCACAAGTTATAAGTGTTAATTTTCTTCCAGTAGAGCCCAAGCCATTTACTGATACATCTTCCTATAAAAGTAACTATCTTATTTTCTTTCAAAACTTTACAGTAAGCAGTAACCAGTTTTAGAATTTTGGAATTCATAAAAGTAGTGGCTATTGACTGTGGTGAAAATTATTTTTCAGCTATACAGCTGTATTTTCCCTTTTTATACTATCAACCATTTGAAAATCCATGTCTTCTGTACTCATAGTTCAAGTAAGTCAAATAGGATCAATCCTCTGACTCTGAGGATCACATGACCCTAGCCTAACCTAATAAAAATAGTTCATTCTACTTGGCTACAGTGATCAGTTCCTGAGTTGGTATGCAACCTAAAAGGAGCCAATGAGACTTGGTGGAAATTTGGAGGGAAATCTAATAAAGAGACTCTTACCCTGTTCTTTGGGACTTCAGGTCTAGAGTTGCCATGGTTACCTTGCAAGTATGAAGACAACTTCTGCCCAGGAATTGCAATGACATGTAGACATTGAAAAACAGAGAAAACCCAAGTCCAGATAAAACCACTTGAACCTCTAGTATACTCATATATATTTCCTTGTTCTGTCTGCTGAGGACCTAGAAGCAGCAATACCCCTATTGCCTTGACAACATCTAGTATAATATCTTGGTTTCTAATACCATTTTC